TCTCCACAGCCTTGGGCTACCTGGATGTGCGTGTGGCAGACACGGACTATGGCTCCTTTGCGGTGGTCTACATCTACAAGGAGCTGGAGGGGGCTCTCAGCACCATGGTGCAGCTCTACAGTGAGCCCCCTCCCACCTGCCCTTTCAGGCCAGCCCAGGGCTGGCCCCACCCACCCTGACCCAGGCCCACCCCTTCTGCTTCAGCCCCCCACTAATCACAGCCTGGACCCGGCAAGGACCAGGGGGCGGGGGGACCAACAGCACTTAGGATGGGGAGGGGGCTGGCTGGAGAGGTCCCCGAGGGCAGACACAACATGTGCCCCTCTCCAGGTGAGGGCCCACCTTCCCTGGTCAGCCTCCCCGCCCCACCTAGGGTGGCAACCTTGCTGTCTGCTCTCAAAGAAGTGGAGTGAGGCAGGTGTCGCCTGCCTCGGCCCTGGGAGCTGCTGGGTTCACAGCTACCCCTCTGTGCCTCAGGTCGGACTCAGGATGCCAGCCCCCAGGCTCTGAAGGCCTTCCAGGACTTCTACCCCACAGTGGGGCTCCAGGATGACATGATGGTCATGCTGCCCAAGTCAGGTACCCTGGCCAAGCCTCACCCCAGTGCCCAGCCCTGAGCCCTGGGGTGGGCAGCAGGTGGTCTTCTCTGCTATGCTGTGTGGCAGCCCTTCCAGCCCCTTCTGCCCCACAGCCCCTTCTTCCCCCAACAGGTGCAAGGAGAGGTAGGGAGGGTCTTCTGGCCCCCTGTTGGGGGGCTGGGGGCCAGGTAGGATGTGGAAGGAGGGCAGCCTTCCCATCTCCACCTCTTGGACTGCTTGCTCCTGCAGATGCTTGCTCCCCACCTCAGGGGAGCACCTTGGCGACCCCGGAGTCCCATCCCAGCCCTGCCCAGGCAGGGGACAGGGTGAGTTCTCCAGGCCCTCCACCGGCTGACCCTGGTCCTCGCTTCCTCTCACCCCTGAGACCTGCTGTGTAGATCCTCACCCACTTCTGCCTGGGGAGTCCCGGGCCTCAGGCCTCAGGGTCCCCTCAGGGAGCCTGTCCTGACTGCGGGGGCTGCCGAGACAGCACCCACGTGGCGGCTTAAACAGGACAAGCTCCAGTCCTGGAGGCCAGGGTCAAGGTGTCCATGGGGTGGGCCCTCTGGAGGCTTGAGGGGAGCCTGCCCACCTGCTGCCCCTTCCTGTGGCTCCTGTAATCCTGGGCATTGCTGGTTGAGATTTCCTTCTCCTCTTCCTTCTTCTTCCTCCTCTTATTCCTCTTCGACTTGCTTCTACTCCTTTTTTTTTCCCCTCCAACACTGGGATTTGAATCCAGGGGCACTTAATCCCTGAATCACTCCCTGGCCCTTTTTATTTTGAGACAGGATATTTTTTTTTGAAATATTACTTTTTATTTTAAAGAGAGAGAGAGAGAGAGAGAGAGAGAGAGAGAGAGAGAGAGAGAGAGAGAATTTTAATATTTATTTTTTAGTTATCAGCGGACACAACATCTTTGTTTGTATGTGGTGCTGAGGATCGAACCCGGGCTGCACGCATGCCAGGCGAGCGCGCTACCACTTGAGCCACATCCCCAGCCCCGAGACAGGATATTTTTAAGTTGCATAGGACCTTGCTAAGTTGCTGAGGCTGGCCTTGAATTTGTGATCCTCTTGCCTCAGCCTCCTGAGCTGCTGGGATTACAGGCTTGAGCCACTGCACCTGGCTGCCCCCTTCTTATGAGGACATTGTTGGATTTAGGGCCCACCCTATCTTCAGGATGATCTCCAGATCCTTAACTAATGCTATCTTCAAAGACCTGTTCCCAGATAAGGCCCCTTGTGGAGGTTCCAGGAGGCGGTGGAGTTTGGGGGGACACTGCTTACCCACCACAGTCCCTGGGCTCCCTGCATCTCCCCTGGGATGGCCTGAGTCTTTGTCCTCTCTCTGAGGGCAGACCTGACACCTCTCGTTCCCTGCCCACTGCAGGGCTGGGTCCCGGGAACCTGGGGCTCTGATGCAGGAGGGGTTTGGGGAGGCCTCCTCAGACCAGGTGCCAGAAAATGGCCACACCTTGCTCAAGCTCCTGAAGGACTGGGCACCCACCTAAAGCCATAAGTAATGGGTGGGATGTGATAGCCTTGGGCAGCAGGTGGGGACCTGGGGCTGTCTTGTGTGGGGGGCTTGGAGTGGGGGGTCCACGGAGGGCGTTTTCCAGCTCCACAGCCTGATTTTGTCCTCATCTGCTGTCACCATTTCCTATGTCTTGACTCTTCTCTGGTGAGCTCCAAGTGGGCTCGTGGCTTCTCTCCTGGGGACGTTGGGGCTTTAGTTGTCTCTGGGTCTGGACATCTTGAACACAGAGTCACCTGTTACTGTCTGGTGGCTTTGGGAACACATGGGGTGGGGACTCAGGCCTTCTTGTCTCCTTGGCCCCTTCGTCCAGGGCCAGCCCCTGGCACTGGGAGGCAGCGGTGGTGCCCGGGGGACCTCTAGCCTGCGGCCTCCAGGACAGTGAGGGGTGATGGGATGTGGGCTTCTGTGTCGGCAGAAGGCTGGGGGCAGGATCAGCTGTGCCTGGCCCTGTGGGTGCTGGCCTGGGGGGCAGTGCCCCCTTGTGTGGGGGAGAAGGATCAGCTGTGCCTTTCCTCACAGGGGGAGTCCACAGCAGCAAACCTCACCTCCCCAGGTATGGACGTGGAGTGAGCCCACCGCCCTCGGGCCACCCAGAGCTGTCCCTCATCCTCCCTCCCTGCCTCCCCTGATCTGGGGCCTCTTCCCACCCAATAAACAGATCCTGCAGCCTCTTGGCTCCTCACTCTTTGGAGAATCCTGGGGAGGGCACAGGAGGCCCATCTCCAGCCCTGCTCTGCTGGCGGCCCAAGGCGGGGAGGAGGTGGGAAGGCAGCACTCACAGGGAGAATGGGGCACCTCTGCCCGGCCCTGCGGTTCATGGGCCTACGGGATGATCAGGCACCCTGTGACCACAGGCCCTGGCCATGGGCTGTGCTGCGTGCCCAGGCAGCAGCAGGAGCTGGGTGGGCGTGGCGGCAGACCGTGAAGTTGGGCTTGTTTGGGTTTCACTGCTCACTGTCGTGATCGGGGGCACCTGGCCTAAACCTCTGAGAGCCCCAGAAATGGGTCAGTGCCATGAGCAACACAACAGCTGGCTAGCTGGCCTGCTTGCTCCATAACAGGCCCCCGGGACACATGTACCCACCCCATTCCATCCTTGTTTCTCAGATGAAGACATCCAGGCACACACAGAGAGGCTGGGCAAGGTATCCAAGGTCACACAGCTGACAAGTGGCCAGGTTAGGGTTCAAATCCATGGGGTGGAGCTGCAGGACATGCCCTCTGCATTGCCTATGACGAGAGGTGGGGTACAGGGGATGCCCTTCCCAGGGTCCATCACTGCCATTGTCCTTGCCCCACCCCTGCCTAGTTCAAGGCCTGAGCGTGGGGAGCAGGAAGGAGCTGAAGGTTCTAGTCCGATGCTCACCATTGCCTGTGGCACTCAAATAGCGGAAGCGGAAGCAATCAGCCCCATCCTGCTCCTGCTCACCCAGAGGGCCAGGGGCTCCACCTCGGGGCCGCCCTCCCTGTCCGTCCTGGCCAAGGCAGCACTCACAGGGAGAATGGGGCACCCCTGCCCGGCCCCTCTGCAGCCACCCTGGGAGCCCTGGCTAGCCAGCCTGTGGGTGGGTCAGCCATCTTCAGCCTCCCCGCTGCAGTCCCCGCTCTTTGGGTGTCCCTCTTGGGCTCCAGTGAGCTAGCCAGCTCTGCTCACCCTGTCCTAACTTGTTCCCCTGCACCTGCCAGTATCCACAGCAGCCAGGTCCCCTGCTGAGTGTGTCTCAGTGGCCAGGACTCCTCTTGAGCTGAGCTTTTCAGGCCCCTCTGCCCTCTGCTGAGAGGGGCTCTGGGAGCTGGAGCCCTGGCCCTGGAGTCTGTCACCTCCCCAGGCTCACTGGGGGAAGGGCTGCATGGCCAGGGTGCTCCTTGGCCACCTTGGTCTCGCCTCCCCTTTCATTGGGAGGGAGCAGGAGAGGTGGGAATCCAAAGGTAGAAGGAGGCTTTTGTTATTTTTTAATTTCTTTCCAGAGGGTGAGGGGGTTTTTCTTTATAAATATGTGTCGCAAATAAAGTTGTTTTGAAAATAAAAGTTGCCTTAAAAAAATCTCTGGCCTGAGAGACTCTTTCCTGGTAAATGCAAGGACTTAGATGGTGGTTTGCTGGACACAGTCAGGAGGAGGCAGAGGGCCAGGGTGGGGGTGCAGGGGTGCAGGGCGTCACTGGAGGAGAGTGTCACCTCTCGTGCGGTTAATGCTCTGCGTGGCAGCCTTGGAAGCTGTCCCTGACAGCGGGAAATGGAGGCGAACCCGCTCTCTGATTTCTGTTGCAGGAGGCAGGGACCAGGGGTCAGTGTCCAGAGGCACCAGTCCTCTCCCCTGAGAGTCCATTGCCCCTGCCCAGGTTAAAGGGGCACGGTGTGGTGCCCTGCATTTCTGTCTGCTCATCCTGGTCTGGCACAGGTATGTTATTGGTGGGCGTGGGGACGTGGGGCACGGGCATGGTGGGGAAGAGCTGATGCCTGGGGCCGGGCTGGCTGGACCCTCGCGTTTCACCCACTGGCTGCAGAAGGCCATAGGCTGGACTGAGCCAGGGCCTAGGCCTTCATGCTTCTTCTGTTATCCCCAGACCCACAAACCCCAGCGTCCCCAGAGGTGGGTGGGCTGAGCCCCCTGGGTGTGGGTGGGGCCTGCTCCTCCTGTCAGGCCCTCAGAACCCCCCCCCACCAACGTCCTGGCAGGAAGGTGGCAGGCAAGGCTGGCTGCTGGCCAACCCCTCCCTGGTGTGGGCGTCAGCGGGACCAGGTGGCACTGTGCTGACCGCCAGGAGTCTGGGGCAGCTGGCAGCCACACTTGCCCATGACGTCCTCCAGGTGGCTGCGCACTCTTGCCCACTCTCCAAATATAAGCCCAGGCCCTGTGGGAGAGAGGCACCGAGACGGAGCCTGTGATGGCGGCCAGGCGGCCAAGCACCACCCTGAGCGTGCTCCTGGTGTGGATGCGGGTGGCGTCCACCTTGGTGGACCTAGACCTGCAGAAGGTGCCTTTTCCTTCCTGGCTTGCAGGCAGATAGCAGGGGATAGTGGGGAGCTGGGCAGGGAGGGGCCGGAGAGTGTTCAGCCACCGCAGGCCCCTCACTCCCAGTTGGTGCTGGCACAGCTACCTGAGGGCCCCCAGGACCTGCCCTGGTCAGTGTCCCAGGAGGGCAGACAGCTAAGGGCCCTGGTGGGGGCTCTGAGCTCTGCAGCCTTTCCTCTCCAGAGGCCTCTGGAGAGCCCCCTGTGACAGCAGGTGCCTGCCATCCTCAGCCAGGCTGGCTGGTCCTCAAGGTTTTTCAGGGTTGGGGTCCCAGGTGGCCCCCGACTGCCCCCCAGGTTGACAGGGTTCCCTCTATACCCCTGCCCTCTGCACTGTGGCGGTGGGGCCAGAGGAGGCCCTCTCCTGGGTGGGCAGCTTGTGGGCTTCTGTCCTGGTCCTCCTCCTACAGGCCAGACACGCGGGGATGTTCAGAAGGACAGACGTCAGGGAGACAAGTCCTTTACTGCTGTAACATCAGCCGTTTTCCGAGTTTCAGATGGCACCTCGGGCTCTGGGTGCGTGTTGGTGGCAGGAAGGCCCTCTCGCAGCGAGGCGGCAGGGCTGGGTCTCTTCTGCTGGGCCAGCCTGGTGAGAGGCCCAGTCACCTGGGCCTGCGTTCTACATGCCCTTCTGCTCTCCAGTCCCTGCAGGCAGCCAGGGCCTGCTCATCTCCCCACACGCCAGGCCTGGAGGCAGCAGAGGCCAGCTCTCTTGGGGCACCTCAAGCTGGCCCTGCGGCTGCTCCAGAAGGCCAGGTGGGAGGGGCATCCCCGCCTGATGGTCTGAAGGGACCTCTGACAAGGATGAGTCTAGTGGGGACAAGCAGGTCTGAGACATCTTGCTGTTTTGCCTCTGAGGTCTCTGGCCACCAGCTCTGTGCCTGTGGCCTCTGAAATGCACCCTGGAGTCCAGGGATGGAGTCTCAGCTGGGCCTCTCAGAGCCAGGGCGGCTGCAGCTCTTCTCTCCAGATTTCAGGGTTCTGGCGGGAAGTTGGTTTGGCCTCGGAGTTCAATATGGCCCTGGATGCGGGGATGAAGGTGGAGGGCTTGTTCATCACCTTGAGTGGCCGGAACATGACCGTGAAGGCTGCGTATAACAAGTGAGAGCCTGGGACCCTGCCCAGACGTGGCCAGGGCACCCTGCAGAGGGGACGGCGTGGCGCGTGTGGCTGGTGGCTGCAGGACCCTCACAGGGTGGGCCTGCCCTCCCTCCCTGTGCCCCTGCCGGGACTCTAGCTCCGGAGAAAGCTGACCCCCAGACTCCTAGATCGGCATTTTCCCCAAATATAAGTATGGGGTTTGATGAAGCCCCACCAGGTTATAAGAAAAGAAAGTGGGCTTAGAGGTGGGCGCGGCTGGAGGGCTCAGGACCGGGGACCCTGCAGGAGCCCTTCCTGCAGCACGTCCCGCTGGGGGCGGGGGCGGGGCCGGGGCCCTCCCCCCAGGAGCGCTGTTGGGGGAGGAGGCTGCGCAGGCGGCTGGGGCTGAGGGGCGCATGCTGCCTTCCAGGTCGGGAAGCTGCACCACAGAGAAAGTGGTGGGCTCAGGAAGAGACGCCGCTGTGGGGAAGTTTGCCTTCCCTGGTAAGTGCCCTGCCCTGCCCGGGGGTCGCAGCTTCCTGCCCACGCCCAGCAACTCCTGGCCTTGCTGCTCCGTGGGCCTGTTCCCAGGCTCCTTGGGCGCAGGCCCTCCTTCCCCTCAAGCACCCTGGGTCACCCTGCAGGGCCTGCTTCCGCCTCCCAGGGCATCACGGGAGGGTCCCAGGCTGGTCAGGAACAGGATGAAGTTAGGCCCTGCAGGCCTGGCTTCCCAGGTCACGCCCTCAGGCTGCCCAACCCTGCTGAGCCCTGCAGGTCACAGGGAGATCCACGTGCTGGACACAGACTACGAGCACTACGCCATCCTGAGAGTGTCCCTGCAATGGCAGGGCAAGGAGTTCCACGTGTTCAAGTACCTCAGTAAGCTCTGCCCAGGTGGGGGGTCTGCCCCGCCCTCCCCGGGACTGCCTGCCCAGATCCCCTGGCCCCACAGCTCGGAGCCTGGACAGGGAGGATGAGCCTGGGTTCTGGAGGTTCCGGGAGCTGACAGCAGACACGGGCCTTTACCTGGTGTCACGGCACAGTGAGTCCAGGTCCCTCGGAGGCTGACGCTGGGCTGAGCCCCTGGGTGGGACCCGCCAGCCTCCTGCCTGCACCTCACACTGCCCTGTCTCACAGGGAGGTGTGCCAAGCTCCTGAAGGAGGTGAGCCCACACCCCTCGGTCTGCACTGAAGACCCTAGCCCCGGCTCAGCAGAGCCCTGGTGGGAGCCGCCTGGTGCTAGTTCCGGGGGCAAGAGAGGGCCGTTCACCCTCTGAGCAGGACACCTAGCACTGATGGGGCCTCCAGAGATGTGTCCATTTTATGGTTTGGAGAGAGCTGGCACCTACAGGGTGGTGACCCCAAGCTGCCAAGTGGGGCCCTGGGGGTATGGGGCAGAGAGAGAGATGGGGGAAGAGAGGAAGGTGGTCCCATCTCCTCTGTTTGTCCATCATGGCTGTGCAGGACTGCCGGTGGCTCTGCCCCTTCAGGCCCTGCCCGGGTGTAGGGTGGGGCATGGGCACTGTAAGCACCCACTTGTGGCGCCCTGTGTCTGGCTCTGCACTGACCCACCACCTGTGCGTCCCCACCTTGTCTCAGCCCAGTCCCCAGTGGTCAGCACTACTACCCCACCTGTGGCTAGAGGCACTGAGGCTCAGGGACTGGATTTTTGCCAAAGCCAGGCAATTGGGAGACCGGGTCCCCAGCCCTGGCCCACCCCTCCTCGGGACCCTGGAAGTGGCCCAGAGCCCTGAGCACCCCCTTCTGTGTGCAGGAGCTGATTTAGAGGAGCTCCTGTTCCGGTCCTGCGGCTGAGCCCCACCCCAGGGGCCACCTGCACCAGCTTTCAAAATAAACCCACTGGCAAACCCACGGCCCAGTGTCTTTCCTGGGACTGGGGCTGGGTGTGACAGGTGGAGCAGCTGGAGACCCACCTGCTCTGCCAAGTATGTGCAGCAGTATGAACAAGTATGAACAGCAGCCCTGGGCTCTTGCCCCCAAGGGACCCACCCAGCCCTGCCATTTTCAGGCTACGAGGACAGTGGGCCCAAAGCATCCCCCTCCCCCTGGAAGAGTCTGTCCTGCCTGGAGAGCTGGATTCAGCCCCAGGCTGGGGCCCGGTGAACAGGGGTCCTGGTATAATCTCAGCAGGACTCACAAATAAAAGGAGACCTGTCCACACTCCTCTGTGTGTTCGTCCATGGCTCCCTATTGTCCAGAACTCAAACCCCACAGTGGTTGTGTCCAAGGCCCCCCTGGATGTGGCTCCTCCTCCACCCTCTGCCTGGTCTTCCCACCACCCTGACTTCACCTGAAGAGCCTTACTCTCACCCCACCACCGGCCCATCGCTGCCTGCCCACATGTGGGTGCTGGGGCTGGAGAGCAGAACAGGCAGGGAAGATGGGTGGTTCTGAGACAGGCCTTTAGGGGCTAGTTGGCCCCTCATATGTGGGGCAAGACAACCCAAGCTTTCCAGAGAGCAGCTGCCTCGGGTGGGGCAGGCAGGAGGGTGGAACCTGGGAAGGGCAGCCCCATCACAGTGGAGAAACCTCGATGAATCTGGCTTTAGCCTAACTTTCGAAGCAATTTTCAGAACTTAAAATCTTATAGGATTTTTTTAAAAAATATTTTTTAGTTGTAGTTGGACACAATACCTTTATTTTATTTATTTTTATGTGGTGCTGAGGATGGAACCCAGTGCCTCACACATGCTAGGCAAGTGCTCTACCGCTGAGCTATAGCCCCAGCTCAAAATCTCATAGGAAGTTAGGTTTAGTGGGCTAGGTTCTGGCTAGACACCACAGGCCCACATTGTAGATGGCCTTAAATTCCAAACCAGGTCCCAGATGACCCAGAGGAGACATTTAGGGCTCAAATTTGGACACATGAGGGGCACTTTGGTGCAAGTGAGTTTCCTGGGATCTGTCCCCCAAAGGACAGGTTCAAGGAGCTTAGCCTGTACCTGGGCTCTCTGCTCCGGCTGCCTAAAGGGTACTGCAGACTGCGGGCTCCCACCACAGAGGTTCATTGTCTCGCAGTTCTGGAGGCTGGGTGTCCAAGCTCAAGGTGCTGCGAGAGCTCTTCTTGGCACGTAGACAGCAGCTTGTCACCGTGTCTTCACCTGCATGTGTGTGGGAGCCCTTCTTCAGTCTCCCTGTTCCTACGGGGACACCAGCCCTATTCAATTAGCCCCTCCCTTGATGTCACCCAACCCCTAGTGTCTCCTAAGGCCCTCTCTCAAATACAGTGACACGGAGGGCTAGGACTTCAACTCGTGCATTTTGGGGAGAACACAGTTCAGTGTAAAACCACAGTCCACACCATGCAGACGGTTACAGAAAGCAGGGCCTCTACAACGTACTGTCAACCATGTCCCACACGAGAGTTACCAGATACCAAAGAAGCAGGTTAAAGAATGGTTGAAAGGGCTTTGGCTGGGGCTCAGTGGTAGAGCACTCACCTAGCATGTGTGAGGCACTGGGTTCAATCCTCAGCACCACTTAAAATAAATAAACTAGTCAAACAAGGGTAATGTGTTCATATTCAACTAAAAAAAAATGAGTGAATTCATCTCAGTTTCTCTTTCTATTTCTTGTTCGTTTCTTCCCCTAGTTTTAAAAATTTCCTCACTTAAGATGTTCTTTTACCACTCTTAGTGTTTGTCTTGGCACCTTTGGTTCAGTTTCGGGTGCTGTTACAACTTTCTTCTTTGTGTGTGTGTGGACATTGGCCAATGTGTTTTCCGCTTTATTTTGTCACTTCCTAGAGTAGCTCAGTGCCAGTGCAGCCACCTTGTCTGTTGGCTTCACGGTGGGGCGGACGTCTGGAGGTCTGAGTGCTGCCCCACTGCACCCAGTACAGTGCCGAGGTCTGCTTCCTCTAATGGACAGCCGAGTGACTGTCCCATCTGTGTGGGCTGCCACTGTGGGCAGTTTGAACCACAGAGATTTCATTCTCTCAGTCCCGGATGCTGGGAGGTCCACGATCAAAGTCCTGGCCAGCTTGTTCCCCACGAGGGCTGCCTTCCTGCCCCAACCCTCTTCTCACCAGCATACCAATCCCACAGGGCTCCTCGGTGTGACCTTGTCTAACCCTAACCCCCGCTCACGCCATCCCACGGGACTCCGCACCTGAATTCTGGGGACTCGGTCTCCCATCTGCAACGTGGTGGCCATGTGGGGCCCTGGAGTCCAGTCCTCCTGGCCTTGCGGGACCTGTGTCTCCTCATGCTTCCAACCTGCAGTGCGCAGGGCTTTTCTGGGGCTCCTGCCTTTGGTCCAGGCTCTCAGGCAGGACTTTCCTGCGGAGTGGGATTCCTTTCCTGTGGTCACCTTAGATGAGTCTTGCGTTCCTTGACTGTTCTCTCTTCCCGTGGGCTTTGGTGTCCCCCTCCCCCGTGCTCCACGGAATCTCAGACAGAGTGCCTAGAGCCGCCTCTGCTCCTCCTTTATCTACAGATAATGTGAAGTTTCTAGGGTTTTCCCTGATTCACGTGGTTGCCTTGTCCTTCCTTTAGGGTGACTTGAGTTTTAGGTGATTGTGGAGAGACCCAGCTTCAGTGACCATCTGGCCTGGTGGCCTCTTGCTGACCTGTGCTGCTCCCCGTGTCCAGCTGCTGCCGTGTGGCTCTCCTCTCTAGGCCCAGGGCCATTCCTGGGATGTTTCAGATGGAATGTGTATTTTAAAGGGACACTCAAAGGGTTAATTTGAAGAAGAGGATGGTGATTTGGAGAGATGTGCTGCAGTCTGGCTGGGCACAAATAACCGGGAGGTCACGAGCCACTTGTAGATTCAAGCAGGAACGAACTTTATTCCAGAACCCACGCAAATTCAATGGGAACTCAACGGGAACTTCACGAGAACTCTAAAGTAGCGGGCACCCGAGGTAGCAGGAGCCGCCTTATTGCCGGACAGCAGAGGTTTATATACACAACTGAATACACAGCTTGTTTCAATTTAGCATCATCCAGTTACAGCAATCAGTCATTATCTTAATAATTATACACAGCTTAACTTAATCACCATCATCTTAATGGCTTGCTGGCACTACCCCTCAACCACTCCTTCTGGCAAAATGCCAGGCATCATCTTGACTTGGTTGTGGCTCTCAACAGAGATGGACTTCCAAAGACGATCTCTCCGCCCTCTACATCTTTCTCTTCCATGAGGCACCTGGAGGTGACAGGTCAGGAGCCACCCTAACCCCGGCTCAGGGTCTCAGATGCTTCTGGTCCTAGAGGTGGTGGAAGCACAGTGGCAGGTCCGTGCAGGGCTGGAATCCTGTTCACTTCACCTGTGGGGTCATGGGGACGCATCAAGTGTCCTCCCGTAGAAGCTGGGGAACACAGATGCGCCTGCTTCCCCACCTCCCAAGGCTTTTCCATCATGGGTCAGAACTGCAAGCCGACAGCAGCTGCCTGGGCAGCAGTCTGGGGTCCACCTCCAGGAGCCAGCTGCAGGTGTGAGACAACAGGCAGAAGTGGTGTCCCTGCTCCTGCTGGCCCAGCTCTTCTCGGCCTCCCGCTGCGGGAGCCTGCCTGCCAGAGGTGCGGTGAGGCAGCTGCGCATCCCAGGGAGAACAGCAGGCTGCTACCCCGGCTGAGGAAGTTCTGGCAGCAGCTCCTGTCGGGGCCCATTGGACCAGCTGGTGCGGTCTTTGGGAGGACGAATGGGCCGTGGAGAGCAAGGGAGGATCTCCCACCTGCCTGGTGCCTGTGGCACCCGCAGCATTTTCTAGGGACTGTCTCTGTACTGTGTCCTCCAGCACCTGGGTCCTCCAGGGTCTGACGAGCAGCTCTGGGTCTGGACTCCTGTCTTCCCATACTCCACCTGGCAGTGTCCACCACCGGACAGACAGCAGTGGCTCTCCCTCTCTCTCGGTGGGGCTGGACAGCCTTCTCCACGCCCTCTCATAGTGTCCTCTAGGCACGGTGATTTTGTGGCACCGCAGGACAACGTGCTGGCCACGGCAGTGAGGAGAGGCCAGGTGGCGGGAAGCCTAGCACCATCCCAGTCCTAGCGACCTTGGTGCCTTCCCACAGTGGGGTGAGCTGGCCCTTCCCCGAGCCCCAGTCTCTGCTGATTGGTCTAATGTCAGGATGCAGAGATCACGGCAGACCCGTCTCCTGAGACTGAGTCTGTGCCCCTTGGTCTTCTGTCGGAGGCGGAGACCACTTAGGTGTGTTCAGAAAAGAGAAATTGAACTTAGCATCTTGTTACAAAGTTGGTGTATGAGGAGCCCCCAGGACAAATAGGTCACCTGGGCATCAGCTCTCCACCTGCCCCGGCTGCTCCCCTGAGCCTCTGCTCAGGACCTGAGGGGGCACCCTGCAGGCCACCCTGGAAACAGGAAACCAAGGGGTGGAAGGAAGAAACAGGCCAGCGGCCCCCACCCCCATCTGGGAGGGCAGAGGAAGGGTTGGGATTACGAAGCCCAGAGCCTTAGAGACCCCAGACCTCAGGGAAAGAGGCACTGCTGGGCAGGACCCTCTGAGGAGGGCACAGTGTGGGGGAAGATCAGGTTGGACTTGTGAGAGCCAGAGGGTGGCAGAGGCTGCTCACGGGGCTGTGGCCACAGGGCGTGGCATCCTGTCCTGAAAGGACAGTGTAACACTGTGTCCCTGAAAGACCCTTTCTGTTCTCAAGGACCTAGCCAAGTTGGAATGGCCTGGACATTCTGTCCAGATAGATCCCACCATGAAGGACGCTGGCTCTCTGTCCCTCGTCTGGTGCACCTCGGCAGCTGGGTGTCACCCTGGCAAGGGCTTTCTTGTGTGCACCTGGCACAGCTGTTCCTTGGGATTCTGGTCACAGGAACTAAGCAAGCTCATGATGCCACTGCCCTGTGGCTGACCTGTGTCCCTCCTTGCACTAGCTGTGCGGAGCCAGGGGCATGGTGCAGAGGTGAGAGCACTCGTGCCCTGTGCCCTGGTCTGACCCTGGACAAGGCTCCATGAGGGATGGAGGGGAGGTGCTGTTTGTCCAGCTCTTGGCTCCTGGACCTCCCCAAAACACGTTTTAGAAACCTTATGCCTTACACACTGTCTCTAGGTATCTTTTTGGGTCTCTCAACAACTGGTCCCCACTGCCCTAGCACAACTGGGCCATGGTCCAACCACAGGCTTGACAGACAGGCCAGGAGACCACCTTGGGTGGCTGTCACCCAAGTCACCAGCCAAGGAGGTGCTTCTGTGACAGTCCAGGAGACCATCAGTAGCCCACAGGCCAGTGGGCCCACCCTGGCCAGGCCTTGACTGCTAACTGCAGCTCCCTACCTCTTGTACCTGCCTCCGACTGTGGACCTCTTGGAGACAGCCAAACATGTCCTGCCAAGCCCACGGGCGCCCGGCCCTAGGAACCCACCTCCAGCTCCTGGGCAGTGAGGAGCCCAGCCTAATCCCATTTTAAGACTAGGAGCCAGGGCTGGGGATGTGGCTCAAGCGGTAGCGCGCTCGCCTGGCATGCGTGCGGCCCGTGTTCGATCCTCAGCACCACATACAAACAAAGATGTTGTGTCCGCCGAAAAACTAAAAAAAAAAATAAATAGTAAAAATTCTCTCTCTCTCTCTCCCCCCCCCCCTCTCTCACTCTATCTTTAAAAAAAAAAAAAAGACTAGGAGCCATCTTGTCACAAAGTCATGAAAAGCTCATTTCTGCTTTACTGTAAATTCCTGAGATTCCTAAACTTGTTTGGAATTCCTGCCGTGCTCTGAACTCACCCCTGCCTGGCTCCCCCAGACCAGATAACAACCTCTCTGAAACCTCAGCGGCTCCTCATGAATTCTGATGTTGGGATCTGAATTTACTCCCTACCTTGAAATATCAAGCCATGCAGATCATTAATCTGCCATCTGCCCTTGCATTACGTTTGCCAGAACCCCGTTAGCTGTAGGTTCCCAAGACACCCCCTTTTGTGGCTTTTTGTGCTATATAAACCTTTCCTTCCTGAGGGGGCGCTGATCTCTGGCCCAGGTCAGGGTGGGGAAGTCGCTGGCCAGCTCTCTGTGTGCACAATGCAAGCTTGCTGTAATTCGGTTTAAAATTGGAGTTGGTGGTCTTTTCTGTGTGTGGAGGTTCAATAGGCAGCAGCCCCTGGGGAGCAGGTAGCCCTGTCCCCTCCCACCTGAGGCTTTCCAGCCCTCTAGCCTGGGACTCAGCCTGGGAGTCATGCCAAAGGCAGGGAGTGGCCAACTCCCTGGTGGACAAGCTGAGTCCCTAGTCTGGCTTCTCCCTCGGGTCTTCCAGTGCTTCCACTGCAGTGCGCCCAGGGGCACTGTCTGGTGGCTTTGCTGAGAACCAGCCTCCCACACCTCTCTGCCTACCAGCCTGGCCTGGTGGCCATCTGCTGGCCATCTGCCGCGCCCCTCCCCCCACGGATATCTTCAGAGGCCAAGACCACCCTCTGCTTTGTGGTGCAGCCCCTGGCTGTGGCCTCCAGCACCGCTCTGGCTGGAGGGTCCCGCTGCCCCCAGGCCCTCACAGATCGCCCACAGTAGCTCTGACTTCCTTCTGGACTCCAGTCGCGTGGCATCCGGGGGAAGCCAGCTTCCGGAGCCTGGCTCAGGGCCAGAATGAGCAGGCGTTGCAGGAAACAGACCTCTCCTTGCGGAGAGGCGGCAAGCTTCACTGGAGAGCTCAGAGAACAAACTCCAAATGCTGAGCCCTGATCCACAGTTTCTCACATTTATAGATCATTTGGCATCATCTTAGACCTGTCCTATCTTTGTTTTTTTTTTTTTTAATTCCTAATCTATATGGCAGAAGGCAAAATGCAGACCTTCAAGTCATGCTTATAGAAGAATGTTATATACAACATCAAGCATGCTCACAGAAACAGATGCAAAGAAAGGCTCTTTTCAGGAGCTGGGGTTGTGGCTCAGTGGTAGAGCGCTCACCTAGCACGTGCAAGGCACTAGGTTCGATCCTCAGCACCACATGAAAATAAATAAATAAAATAAAGGTATAGAGTCCAACTACAACTAAAAAGTAAATATTAAAAAGAAAGTCTCTTTTCACAGACATAGTTCAATCTCTAGCCTTGAAAGCCTGCACAGGGGTGTTTACATTTCAAAAGGGAAGCAGAGGGCTGGGGACACAGCTCAGTTGGTAGAGTGCCTGCCTTGCATACACTCTGGTGGCCCTGGGCTCAATCCCTAGCAACACACACACACACACACACAAAAGGGAAGCTGTCAGACTCCTAGAGATGTTATTTGCAATCCCAAACGCAGGGAGCTTGGTTAATTGGATTTCCTGAAGGAGAGGAGGAGAGCTGACCCTTCCCCAGGCATTGGTTGGGCTCACCATAACTTTCATGTTATTTCATTCTACAACCGGGTCTGGTTTTGCCATCTCACAGGAAGGTGGACCAGAGCTTCGGTTTGCTCTGGGATGGGCCCTCGGCACCCATGGTCTTGCTGCTGTTCAGAAGGCTCAGTAACTCTCCCTGATGAGTGAATGGATGACGATCCCAGGGTGAGCAAGGTTAAGGCCTTGGGTGGCTGAAGGGCTCCGAGCCACCTGCCCTGGGCTGTGCATGCAGACTCTGCAAGTGCTTCTGCCCACAGCTGCAGGACAGGAGGCTCTGATGGCACAGTGATGCAGCGGTGGGAAGCCCAGGTGGCAGGCAGCTCTTGGGGACCTTGGGGACATGCAGACAGGGTCTCGGGAGGAGAGGTGGCAGGGTGGGAGCTGGCTGTAGAGAACAGGTCCAGGTGGTGGGGTGAAGGGAACAGGTTGGGCTGGCAGGGGTCCAGAGGGCTGGGATGGGGGAGGCCACGGCTGGCTGAGCAGAGGGCCCGTGGTCACAAGTAGGTAGGAGCACTTTAAAAAAGACTTTTAGGAATTGTTGTATTTTTTATGATGGAAACAGAAGATATCCAAACCCGTGGTTTCTGGAAGAACTCCTTGTTCTTGACCAGTCTGCACTGCCCTTGAACTTGACCTCAGCCCCATCAGGTCTGGCCCTGCAGAGCAGCATCTGAGTCTGCCCAGACTCACCCCAGGAGAGTGCAGATCCTGGGAGGGTTTAGGGGGCTCATCCTGGAAACCTCTGTGGAGAAGGAGGCAGGAGAGCAGGCTCTGCAGTGGCCTAGAGCAGGCCCTGCACACACCCCGGCACCCTCTAGGCCATGCTGCAGGTCCAGGGTGGGCACACAGGCCACCCTGCCGCCCTTTGGGTAATGTTGCTACTTTGCAAGAACAGTGGCCAGGATGGTGCCCTGTGGTCAGTGGCCACCCACATCCTGGCACTCAGAGCCATATAAGAGCTTCCCAGCAGAAGGGCAGCACATCCTCCCATGGTGAGTGGTGTGCTTGGGCCTGGAGAGGATGAGGGTGCTGCAGCTGGGTGCTCTGCTGGTGTTGGTCTTCATGCCCAGCACCCAACTGGTGTGGCTAGGAAGACTGAACCCCAAGCAGGTACCAGCCCTCTCCAACAGCAGGTCTGTCCTAGGGCCCAGGCCCCTCCTCTGAGGCCACACAGCTTCTGGGTCCCCAGGGCCAGCCCAGACAGGCATGAGTGGTGGGGCTAGGTAGGGCTGGTCACCCCTGAGGGAGGAGAACCAGGCCTCTCAGCTGACTGCCCCTCATGCAGCTTCTTGGGCCCTGGTACCTCCTTGCCGTGGCCTCCCACGAGAAGGGCTTCATGGTGGAGAAGAACACAAAGTACGTAGAAGGCGTCATGGTGACTCTCACCCCAGAAAACAACCTGAAGGTTCTGTCCACTCGGCATGGGTAAGTGGGCAGCGCACTGCACCGGCCCCACGCAGGTCCCCTGCAGGCCCTCCGCACACGAGCCTCCACCCACAGCTCCCGCAGGCCGCTTCCTCTGGACATGGAGGTTGCTCTGTGTCCCTGAGTGGCGATGCTGGGGACAGCAGGCTCCCTGCACGGATACCCGTCAGCCTTTTACTTTCTCAGAGTTCTTTGCCATCTGTGGGCCAAAACGGGCACTGTGTAGGCTTCAGTGTGCCTTTTCCTGACGTGGGAGCTGTGGGCTCGCCAGCCCTCGTCAGCAAGCCCCTCCTGCTTCCAGGGATCCATTTGTTCAAATGCCCTACACATGCTCCTCTCGGGTGTTTCTTACTGTTTGTAGGGATCCTTAAATATGAGGGAGCGTGGTCAACATCAGCTGCACACCCGCTCCCCAGTGGCTCATGTCCACGCTGTTGAGGAAGGTTTTATCTCCCCCCGAGGGCCCTGGGGGCCATGTCCCCCTGGGGAGCCCCTCCCCACTCTCTGGTCTCACACCTTGGATGCATCGGGAGGCGCGACGCTGGTCACAGGCATCTGCCCCTGTGTGTCTTGCTTTACTTCTGAACTTCCTATTCTGTTCCTTTCATCTACTGAGTGGCCCAAACCCTGATGTTTTAGTCATTCAGCTTTAGTTGCCTCATTATCTCAAAGTCTAGAACTTGCTGCGTCTTCCCTCTGGGGTCATCTTTTTGTTCCCAGTGGACCTGAGCAGCAGCTTGCGGCCGTGCGGTGGCCTGCTCCTCTGGGGACTGGCACTGTTCCACGTCAAGTCTCTGCCCCTACCACAGACCGACCCTGCGGGTGCCCTTGCTTGCTCCATGTGGACCTGGGTCTCGGGGCAGGTGACAGGGAGTGGCTGGCACTTACCTGATAGCCTGTCTCCTCACAGCAGGGTTTCCTGGCAACTGGGGCATCAGGGAGACCCATCTCTGCAGCCTCCTGGCCGGCTGACCAAGCAGGGACGAGGAGAGCCTGTCTCTTCCCACGGGTCTTTCCTTTCTAGGCTGGAGGGGTGCACCCAGAACGCGATGGAGCTGTCCAGGCAGAGCTCCCGATGGGTGTTTGAGAACCCCGGTAAGTAGGATGCTGCAGGGCCCTCATCGGGCAGTGCTTGCCTGGAGCCCGCTGGAGGACAGCAGGCCAGTGGGCAGGGCCAGGGCCGGCAGGATGGCTCCAGAGGTCTTGGTACAGCTCTTCACAGGCAGCTGAAGGACCTGCCTTGGTTGGGAACCTGGTGCCAGTCCTCGGGGTGAGAAGACTCTCACCCCAAGACAAAGCATGTGGCCCTCACGTTCCCTGCCCTTCATGCCCGACACCTGTGGGGCATCTCAGCCCAGGGCCCTGGGATCCTCCCTGGGTGCAGAGAGCCGGGTGCCTGCACAGTGGCTGGCCACCTCCCTCGAAACAGGTCAGATGGGGTGACCCAGGTTCTCCTCAGGCTCCCGAGGATGCGCTGGGCAAGACCCTCAGCTGCCCAGCTGTGCATCAGTCCGTCATTTTGGCCACTTCCTCCTGGCACCAGCCTGGGGACTTCTCCTGCGGTCTGCTGGGTCTTGCCCTCAATCTGCCCTCTATCCCCATGGCTGCCCCGTTGGCATAGTGGCCTGTGCCCACCTGGGGGCACGTTTGCCTCCTAGCCCTGGGTGTGCTGCAGTACCGGGTGCTGGGCACCAACTTCAGAGACTACGCCATTGTCCTGACCCAGATGGAGGTCGAGGAGGAGGCCTTCAACACGCTGGAGCTGTACAGTGAGTGGCGCCTGAGTGGGGGGCACAGGAGTAAGCCCCTCTGCCCGAGGCCTCTGTGCTGGGGCATCCTAGCAGCTGGCCCTCCCCGAGTCCCAGGGGCTGTCCCTCTCCCCCAGGCCGGATGGAGATGGCCAGCCAGGAGGCCCTGCAGCTCTTCACCAAATGGAGCAGGAACCTGGGCTTCCTATCCCAGCAGCAGGCCCAGCTGCAGAAGGACTGTAAGTGTCCTCAAGTGGCCAGGGGAGGTCAGGCAGGCCCAATGCCCACAGATCACACTGGGGGCCACGTCCTGCTTTCTGCCAGTCGGGGACTTCCTGGAGTTCCCACCCAGTCAGGCCTGCGGGATGGTTGGGGACAGGGCCAGGCACTCGGGGTCTTCTCACAGCTGGCCCCGCCTTACCTTCCAGTCACCTGTGCACGCAGGATCCTCCAGGTGGGCCACCAGCTGGGGGGGCTGTAGCCTCCTGGGGCTGGGAGAACTGTCACCCAAGCCTGCTGGCCATGACTCTGCTGCAGGAGGCTGAGGGTGGCCCACTGCTGGCCAGCTGGCCCCCAGTGCTCATCCTGTTTCCAGTAAGTGGCAGTGCCCACGTGTTCCTGTGGAGCACGCACCACTGTCCTCTCAGCAGCCAGGTGGTGGTGTGGGCTGGCTGCTGCCCGAGGCTCTCGCCCCAGCAAATAAAGGATTCCACAAGCAAACTCCCCTAGTGTGTCTGACTGGGCCAGACAGCGTCCACGCCCCGCAGGTGGAGGAATTGGACAGATCAACCCAGGAAGGTGGGGCACCATGAGAGGCCACACTTGGCTCTGGTCAAGAGGACTTGATGCTGCAGTGTCGCTCAGCAGAGTCCCCTGGGGACACAGCTTCTGGGTTGGTCTGCTGGACGCAGAGCAGGCAGGGTGTGACTTGGAGGTGGGTGCTGACATCCTCAGGACTGCAGCAGGGCAGGAGGAACTGAGGTGCTCTGAGCTTGGCTTCCTGTGCTCTGGCTGCTGCTGGGTCAGGGGCCGGTGACCAGGAGGGCCTGAGCCTGAGGGCCTCCTGGGTTCAGGTGTGGGGACAGCTGGGCTGAACAGGTGAGGGCTGAACATCACTTACACTGAGATGAGGTGAGTGCACACGGGGGACCTCAACCCTTAAGGCTGGACATGCACACGTGTGTGCACACACACGTGCACCTGCCTACATGTGTAGCGCATGCACTCATGGGTGTGTGTGTCCCTCCCAGCCTGCCCGACAGTACCTGCTCAAGCACTGTGACCTCAAAAAACGTGGCTTCCAAATCGTGTTCCTAGAGGCCACCGTGTCACATCCAGAGTGCACACCTGTCCCAGGCACAGTCCATGAGGCCCTGGCCCTTTGCTTCACACCTGGGGTTCCAGGATGAGAGGACCAGGGTGCCCCATGCCAGGCCAAATGGTCCAGGGCTGTAGAGGTACCCAGGGAACCTGTGGCAGCCCCAGACCATATGGTGAAGGCATAAGGGACCTTGGTGTAGCCTGTGGGAACATGATGGCATCTTCTCTGGGGACCTCCCTCCCAGAACGGCGGTGTCCATAGCAGTTGACTTGGCTATGTGAGGGCCCAGGGCTGGCCAGGCCCTGTGTCAGGAGGAGGGGCAAAGTCCAAAACCACAGCTGCCCACCTCCCACCCTTGTTCTGCCTGCCTGGCCTAGGCTGGCTCAGGGTGCTGGGGTGGTCAGATGCCCATGGCGGGGCGTGGCAGTCAGGGACATTTACATGCAGTGACCAGGCTCTCGGGCTGAGGGCTAGTGAGGATGAGGCCCGGGCTGGTGCTAGTGCTGCTGGTGGCGCTAACCCTGGCCGTGGGGTCCCAGCCCCAGAAAAATTTCCCTAAGGAGTCCAACGCCCTCAACTGGGGCAAGGTGAGTCACTGTCTACTGGTGCCCATGCCAGGACACAGTGGGCAGAGGCAGCAGCAGAGCAGGGCACAGGCTCCTGCCAGGCCCACCTGGCCTCTCCCACTGCAGCCCTCGGCCCCAGGGTCCCAAGAGGTTCTTGGCCAAGGGTCCTGAGGGCAAGGCAGCAGGGAGACCCTGGGGGGTGATGGAGGGTGTGCGCTGGAGAGAGGAGACCAGCTGGGTGGGAGGCTCTGGTGGGAGCTACAGCATCCCTGGTTGGACCCCAGGGCAGCGGGTGGGCCACAGGGATCTGTAGCAGGGAGACCACTGGCCAGGGTGCAGGGGAGGGGCTGAGTGGCCCAGGGCCCCAGGACACCACGGCAGGAAGAAGCCCACCCCTGAGGTGGGCAGGGGACGCTCTGAGCTGCCAGTGCCCGCAGCCTAGCCCTGTGCCTCCTGACCCTGACTGGCCAGCCCGGAGCTGTGCCTGCGGAGAGGAGCAGGACCTGTGAAGCTCTAGGAAAGGGTGGTTTGTCCAGTCAGTTCTCTGGCTGGGAGCCTGGGGTGGGGGCAGCGCCAGGTGGCAGCTCCAATACTGGCCCCCGCAGTTCTCAGGGTTCTGGTACATTCTTGCGGTGGCCACTAATGCCCGGGGCTTCGTGCCGGCCCCAGACAAGAGGAAGCTGGGGGCGTCTGTGGTGAAGGTGCACCGAGGAGGCCACCTGAGGGTGGTCGTCGCCTTCAGCAGGTGAGTGGGCAGGGTGGTGGGCCAGCACACCGTCACAGACTGACCAGCCAGCGGCACGCCCTTCCCAAGAGGAAGAAGCTGGCGGGGAAAGGGAAAGGGGTCCAGGTAGAAAGCTGGCTGAGGCCAGTCTGCAAGTTCTACAAGACAGCCCCACCTCTTCGGGGTGGGGGGTGCATCCAAACTGGTGACCTTCCCCCTGCCCCCCCCCAGGCCGAGGCCTGGTGGGAGTTGGGCCAGACCAGACGACCTGGGGGGCGTGGCAGCCAGCAGGCAGGAAGGGCCCTGGCCCTGAGCCTGCACCTTCTTGACTTCAGGTCCCAGGGCTGCCAGTCCCAGGAGCTGATCCTGAGGAAAGACAAGAAGAAGCCGGTGTTCAGGAATACCTGTGCGTAGGACACAGGGGCGCGGGAAACTGGGCCAGGTCCCGGCAGCAGCCCTGTGCCCAGAGTGTATGGTGGGCAGGGCAGGCAGGACCCCAGGACAGGGCTGTCAGAGGCTTCGGTAGGATACCTGGGGGACGGGGCAGTCAGAGGGCTTGGGTCCAGAGCTCACTGCATTCCTCTGGGCAGCCTGGCCTGGGAGGCAGGGCCCCGGGCCAGACGCCAGGCCAGATGTCCAGCTGTGGGCGGTATGGACTGTGTCAGTGGGCCTTGGGCTTCTCTCGCAGTGAAGGGGGTGAAGGGCTTCCACGTGCTGTCCACTGACTACAGCTACGGCCTGGTGTACCTCCGCCTGGGGCGTGCCCAGCGCAACTACAAGAACCTGATGCTCTTTGGTAAGTGGGGCCCCTAGGGCTGTGGGCTGCACCCGGGAGTCAGAGCAGAGGGTGGTGGAGGGCGAGGGCTGCTCATGGCTGGCGGTGCCAGCTGACAGGAGGCAAGACCTGGTAGGGGAGGCTGGCAGGTGAACAGCTGGCAAGGAGGGCGTTTGGTCAGGGTGGGTGGTAGGAGCCGGGGCAGTGAAGGAGACCATGGTGTGCAGGGCCTGGAAGTGGCTGCAGTGGGGGTGAGTGGGAGACCCTCCCAGGGAGGGCAGAGGCCGCCCAGGAGGGTGCTGGGATATGGGGTGGGTGCAGGTTACAAGGCCTGGGGAAGAGAGGGGCAGGATGGGGTGACTGGGTGTGATGGGGCGGGGGTGAGGCAGGGTCTGCACTGGGTGGGGGTGTGGAGGTGACTGAAGCTGGGGTAAGAGGCCTGAGCCCACTACCAGACACAGCCGTGGGCACTGAGCAGGCGGCGTTGGAGACGGGGGAGGGGGTCCTGTCTCAGTGGACACATTCAGGTGGGTGTCAGGATTCTGAGGCAGAAGGGGCTCCCCAAGAGCCCACCTCCAGTGGTGATCCCAGCCCCAGCTCTACTGCCTTGAAAACGGGGGACAGGGCAGACTGACGGGGTGGGGCAGGGTTCAGGTGCAGACATAGGACAGCGATGGCCCCTGCTCTGTGACTCCCCCTGGCCACAGGAAGACAGAACATCTCCAGCTTCCTGAGTCTGCGGGAATTCCTGGACACCTGTGCCACCCTGAAGCTCACCGAGGAGGCCACCATCCTCCCCAAAGATGGTGAGGTCCTCTGGGCTCCGCTCTCGGCCCTGCCACCCCAGGGGACACTGGTCCACTGGGCCCATGAGCTGACCGGGGCAGGCATGTCCCCCAGCAGCCCTCTCTCAGCCTCTTCCCTCCCCCACAGCGTCCTGCGCACACACCCTCCTGCCCTGAGAGCCGGCCACCCTGCTTGTTGCCTTCGACTGTGGTTCTCCCAGGCCCTGGGCACGTTGTTCCCAATGAAATGAGAGTTCTTCAGGTTCAGTGGCTTGTTGATAGGTGACCCCAGACTGCAGCAGTGTGGAACCCAGCTCTGACTGCAGAGTGACTGCAGGAGAGGGGGTCACGTGCCACCTGGGAGGGAGGTGCCAAGTGGGGCCTGTGCCTGTGTCCTGGGCATGGTGCTGGTGCCCGTCTACTGTGCAATAGAGCGCAGGCTGGTCCTGGGAAGCCTCGCCGCCTGCCTTCTCAGTGCCATGGCTGGGTTCCTTGACTGCTGACATCCTCTCAGGAAGCCGCTGGCAATCCAGCAGTGTCCCAAGCCCCTCCTGGGCCTCGGGCCAGGCACTGGACTAGGCTAGGCACAGGGCTGGGAGCACAACAGCTGTAGAGCTGATGGCCTGTCCAGAGAGGCAGCTGTCAGTCCCGTCATCACCTGAGCATGCCGCTGCACACCCTGAGAGTCACTTCCAGGAGCGGCAAGCGTGAGCAATAGCCCTCAGGGAGGGTCGGGCAGGGAAGTGACACTCCTGGGCCAGGGTGTGGGGACGGTGGGTGGAGGGCAGGGCAGGGAGCACCCCCCCCCAGGACATGGAGCAGACCTGAGTGGGGGGATGGCCTCTCCAGGAGGTCAGTGGAGGGCAGCGGGGGCACAGATACAGGGGGGACAGTGGCCACAGCGAGCTGGCATTGACGGCCAGACCCTGCCGCCCCTCGAGGCCTTGTAAGGGCCTTGTTCTGGCCCCAAAGGGCACAGGGTGGGGGCTGGCCCATGTGCGCTGAGTGGGAGATGGGGGCTGAGGTGGGAGCGGCGTGTGTTCCCACCCGCCTTGCGTGGAGAGGGAGCTGCCCGGAACCCAGCTGGAGTCCAGGCAGGTGGCTGGGCCTGGGAGTCTGTGGGTCTGGGGAGAAGTGGGGGGACAGGTTGGAAAGGCAGGCGAGATGGGTATGTGGGGCATGAGAAGGAAAGACCAGAGTCCAGGTTTGGGCCTGACCAGGAGCCTGAGTTCAGAGTGTCCCCAGGCCGCGCAGTGGAGGGGCGGGTGGGGAGTTCAGAGCTTCAAGGGAAATGAGGATTTCGGAGACACCAGCGTGTTTGGTAAAGAAGTCACGGGTGTGCATGAGGGGAGGGTGGGGCTGAACCCTGCAGCCGGGGCTGCACAGCAAACACCCCAATTTCCGCCAGCAACAGGCCTGGCTTAGGCTCCTAGCGGGTCTGACTCCCCATCCTGGGCTTGTGCTGCTGTGGTCGGCTGGCGGTCAGTGGGCTAGGGCCTGCTGGGATGGCTCGGCCCACTCTCCCACATCCCGAGGGGTGTGCCTTCCTCACAGCAGTGACAGGCATGCAGGCAGAAGAGGCCACCAGGCTCAGAGCAGACACAGTGCCCTTCCTGCCTCACCCTGGGTCCAAGCAAGCCCAGGCTCAAATCCAAAGATGGGAAGCTGGGAGAGGAGATGCACCTGGCTCTCTAGGGGGAGGATGCACCAGGCACTGGCCAGATCCAGGGAGGGCTAGGGGCCCAGGCCTTCACCTGCACACATCTCCCCCACCTTCCTCCTGGGCCCACAAGGCACCTCCAGGCATTAGGTGCAGACCTTTGGACTTCCTCCCCTCCCCTCTCCCTCCCCACTCCTCTCCTCCCCTCCCCCCCTCCTCCCCTCCCCTCCCCTCCCCCTCCCTCCCCCTTCCCGTCCTCCCTCTTTTTCTGGTACGAAGGGCACTTAACCATGGAGCCACAGCCCCAGAACTTTAAAAAAATCTATTATTTTGAGCAGGATCTTTCCAAGTTGCCAGGAGCCTTGCTAAGTTGGTGAGGCTGGCTTTGAACTTGTGATCCGATCCTCCTGCCTCAGCCTCCCGAACTGCTGGGGTCAGGGCACCCCGCCCAGCCCAGCTCAGCACTTCTGAAGACGATGCTGGGAAACATGTGTGGGTGTGGCGTGTGCCGCTGGAGCACAGGGAGCTGCCTCAGTGTGCTTGCCACTTAGGAAACAGCGTGGGTGTTGGGTCCCAACTTGCTTCGGGGTGGAGAGTCACACCCACACTTCTGTAGAAACACATCCCTCTGCTCTGCGTGAGCTTATTAGATTTGGGTGGCGTGCCACTGAGGACTCTGGGGCTCATCCCACGGGAAGAAACTGTCTGAAAGGTGAGTGTTGGGAAGGAAGAAGGGCTTTATCCAGTGGACAGAGCGTGGAGAAGAGGGAGCTCTGCTCCCAAATCAGTTTCCAACTCCAGGGGCTGGAGGGGCTACAGACACGGGCAGGGACCATGAGGGAGAGGGATGGGCGCAGGACAGGAATGAAGTATGGAGGGCAGGCTGCACCCTGCTCCGAGGGACTCGCGCTCCACAGCACAGCTGCGCCTGGCCTCCCAGGACTCCACTTTATACAGCACTAGTTTGCCAAGAGCAGCTCCATTTCGAGTTAAGTGTGGAGGTGGAATGACTCCACCTTGTTCAAGTCAACAGCCACCGTCTGCCCAGCACCACCCTAAAGAAAAACCAGGCCCCTGCGCTCATCAAACACACCAGACCAAACACAGCAACCCCCTCGCCCAAGACCCACGGAAGGAGGTGCACCCTGAGACTGGGCACGGTGGCATGCACCAACCCATCATCAGCCAGCCAGTCTGAAGGCGCCATGACATTAACTGGAAAATCTCCAGCTCCCTGTCCCTGTCCCCCAGCTCCCTGTCCCTGTCCCCCAGCTCAGCTCCATCTCCCTGGCTTTGAAAGCATCTGCCTTCAGGACCCTGGCCCAGAGTCAGTCCTGTGCTCCAACAGCTCTGCACCCTGAACAAGCTCTTCAGCCTACTCTGCACCTGCCCTCTGCCCTCACTCAGTGCCACCTCCAGAAACCCTGTGGCCACCTTATTCTTGCTCAGCCTTTCTGCAACCTAGAAATCCCGCCATGTGTAAGTGTGACTTGAGTATTACAGAGATGAGCGGTTATGGTTAGATAAAAGAACCCGCAACTGCCGGGCTCATGAGCACTCAGAGAACTGCCATGGATGAAAGTGGGGTAGCACGTGAACTCACTGTCACTCAGGAAGTTCTGCCTCCGTGGAAAGACACAGACACTTGGTCCATGAGTGGCTAAGCTCACGCGTGACGGGCTGGGAGAGGGGAGGGACAGTCATATCTCTTCTGGAAACAGGTGCAGACCCCCCAGGGGCATCTCCTCTTCCCACTCTCATGGGCTGGAGTCTTTGGCCTTAAGGGGACAGACCAACGCCATGCTATGGTCTTGGACAGACACTTCTCAGATAACCAACCTGTCTACGTGTAGATCTGAGTGGACTTTGCCCCAAGGTCAAGGCAATGGAGACAGACACAATTTGGAGGCAGGGATGCCACTTGTGGGCCCACGTGAAGAGTCAGTGTTTTCACTGACTCTTCAGTCCCTGAAGAGTCCCCTAGGCCACTGCCTCGTCCTAACCTGCACAGCAAAGCCAGTGGGGCCTAATAAAGCACTGCCCAGCCAGTGGCCTCCAAGTCAGTGACCTCTAAGTCCACTGAGAGTGAGTGAAGCCAGGGGGTTATTCAGGCTTCCTGGTGACAGAGGGACAGTGCCCTGTTTCAGCATCCTAGAACACCCATGCTTTTTTGAGATAAGGTCTGGCTAAGTTGCTGAAGGTGGCCTCAAACTTGTGGTCCTCCTGCCTCAGCCTCCCAAGTCACTGGGATGACAGGCATGGCCACGGTGCCTGGCTTGATCTCCTCTTATAGGGACCTGTCACACTGGATCAGAGCCCACCCTGAGGACCTCTTTTTTACCTTCATGAACTCTGTAAAGTCCCTGTCTTCAGTCACATTCTGAGGTGCTGGTGTGAGGGCTGAGCATGTGCTTTTGGGAGCCACGATCCAGGCTATAACACCTCCATCCACAGCATACACCCAACCTCCAACGTGGGGCAGGCCTGGGCCAGTCCCTGTGGGTGCCCTGTGGAAAGGAGGATGCTGGGGGCCCCAAGGGAGCTGCTGGTGCATTCCAAGATCCAGTGAACTGCATGAGCAGCTCTTATTCAGCCTCAAGGGATGTCCTCCATGGCTCTGTGCTCCTGGTCCCAGCTGGCAAGGTATCTGCCAATACAATTTCCTTAAAAACCGTGTGGGTCTCCTGTGACTCTTCTCTAGGCCCTCTCTGTTTGTCAAAAGCCACACTGCAAACCTGTAGAGACAAGAACCCTCCTTTAGGGTTCTGCAGGGGCAGCTGGGGACAGGCTGCAGCACCTCAAGGCTTGTCATTGGCTGGAGCACTAGTGAGGCCTGTCCCCACCTCTCTTGGGCTCTCCTGCGAGGCACACTCTGAGCACCAGCTGTCTTTGAAGAGGCGCATGCACGGGTGGGTCCTGTTGTAAGAGTTTTGCCACCTGTGACTTCGACTGGCTGTAGTGCCTTTCCGCTCCCATGCCACCTTCGGCATCAGAGCCCTGATGGTCTCCTCCGCCCAGGGCCGAGTGGGAAGCCTCACCCCGGGCACTCCCTTCAGCCTGGTGGCAGGGCAGTTCACGATGATGGATGGAGTGAGTGGCCCAGCTTGGCACCTTTGTTCTTGGTGTCCTCACCTGATGGTCCCTGCTCCAGAGCCCTCATCCCCATCTCAGCTTCAACACTGCCAACCACGTGACCAGGGCACCCTTCTTAACCCTGGGGCCTCCATTCCCCTCTGAGCAGTGGACATGGGGCACCTCCTTCCCCCCATGACTGTGAAGATTCATGATTTGGAACAGACAGAAAGCTTGGCAGGCCTGCCCCATCAGGGCACAGGGGTGCTCACCAAGGTCAGGTCTCACCAGCCTCAGCACTCATTAGGCACTGGATGCATACTAGTGTACGACAGAGAAGGATGAGCCCCTAGTGGAGTGGATCTGAATGCACAGCTTGGCTCCTGGCTCTGCCCCTAGAGCAGCAGGGGCTGGTGGCAGGCCAGCACACCTGCCAGAGGCACAA